GGCCGTGGAGGCGGAGGGGGATGGGCGAACACGAAGAGGAGAAGGAGGCCGAAGAAGGACACTGGTACGTCCCACCCCGCACCTACGACGGTCGTGCCAAAGACCGACCCGTGTCCCAGGCGTCGTGGTTATCCACTTCACGCGCGAGAACTTCGACAGGAGATGGATCCCCGACCTCAGCCTGCCCCGCCGCCCGTCCTCCTCCTCCTCCTCCGCTCCTAGCCCGCCCACGATGCCGAGGGCCATGGCTCTGGCTCTGGAAGCCGCGGCGCGCACTGGCAAGGTCGCCGGCACGTCAAGCAGCCCTCGGGGGCAGGGTTCGCGTGCAGGGCGCATACCGCCCGAACCCGAACCCGAACCCGAACCCGCTGCGAAACCGGACGAGGTCAAGAAAGAAGAACGCGAGGCGACGGTCCCTCGTGCGGGGTTCGACCTGCTCACGACCACCGATCGGGGCTCTGGCGTCCCTCCGTATATTGCACGTCCTGCGTGCGGTGTTCCCCTCATCAGGGAGTCCCCAGGCTCCCATGGTCGTCCACGCCACCTGGACGGGTGCCCCCGCGCCTCGTCTGCACAAAAAAGTACGCTCTATAGTACTTCCTCTCTACCATATCATCGGGTACTGACCCGATGTCCTAATGCGTCTCTCGTACCACGTCTTAGCCCGCAGGACGCCGCGCGTCATTCCTGGGTGCTCGAGGTCGGTTCAGGCGCTGCAGCAGCATTCTGGGCAGGGTCCCGTCGCGCGCGTGTGGCAGCTGGACGGGTGCGGCTGTCCGAAGGGCTACAGCGACAGGGACGCGGCCCCCACCGCCGCTCGCAGTCGCACGCACGACGCCCTCGCGCCCCCCGTCGACGAGGACGTCAAACCGGACATCTCGCTCCTCGATCCCCGGCGCGCGTCTGGCACGGCCGCTCTGTCCGAGGATGTGCCCATGCGCGACGTCCGTCCTCCCGGTGCGGACGGGGAGCGCGAGGACGTGAAGCCGACGCGGTCTGAGCTGCTCGATGCCGCGCGTCGTCCGTCGGGTACTGCGGCTGCATCTGAGGAGGAGGAGGAGGAGGAGGAGGAGGAGGAGGAGGAGGCGCAGGGTGGCGGTGGGCAGCAGGTTGAGCCTGCGACTGGTCCGACCGCCGCCGACGCCCGTCCAGCGGCCCACCGCGAACGGACTGCGCGGACGCTCGAGCAGAGCAAGCGCGCGCGCGCGCGTTGGATGCAGCGTCCTCGCGGCTGGATGTCGCGACTGGGGCCCGTGACCGGGGACGTCGCCGAGTTCGTGCTCAGCAAGGTCCTGCTGTACCGAGTCCTGCGGCGACTCCGCTTGTAAGTACTTACAGCGGGTGTGTGAATAAAGTATCATCATTATGCCATGCGCATGCCTATGCGATGCGATGCGATGCTCAACCGTGCCAAACCTGAATTATATGTGTCTCCCCACCCCGAGCTCGATAAATACTGACGCTGGACTGACAAGAAACGGGCCATGGCCACGGTGCGCCGTCACCGCCTCACCAATCGTCCTCCCGAAAATCGTCCTCGAACACCCTCGAGCCCGAAAACCCGTCGTCCTCGGCAGAATACGCCCTCTCCCCGCGGTACCGTCTCCCGCCCTCCCCGCCACCCTCGTCCTCCCGATACACCTCCCTCCACCGCCCGCTGCTCTCCCAGTCCTCCCCCTCCCGCATCCTCTCCTCGCCAAACCCACGCGCACCCCCCGCGCCCTCCCTCCCAAACAGCCTCCTCAAATCGGGGCGTCCGCGCGCGGCCGAGGCGGCGCGGTGCGTCCACGCGGGGATGGAGAGGCTGGACGCGGACGCGGGGCCGGGCGCGAGCGAGGACAGGTCGGGGTGGGACGAGGACGGGGTGGAGCGGAGCGACTCCGACGCGTTCATGTCCTCCGAGGGCGGCGGCGTGATCGTGATCGCGGGCAGGCGCAGGTGCGGCAGGCTGGAGCTGGACGCGTGCGTCGGCTCGCGCCGCGCGCCGGGCGACGCGGCCGGCGCGGGCGAGGACGCGGTGCGCGCGCGCGGCTTGAGGGGCTGGGCTTTCCATCCTGCGAGGAGCGCGCGGAAGAAGGACGGCGGGGCGGGCGGGGCGTCTGGGTGGGGAGGGGGAGGGTCGGAGTGGCGTTGGTTGGTTGGTGGCTGGGAGGGGGCTTACCGTGGCGGAGGTCGGCAGAGCTTGAGGTCGGGCTTGGGGGCGGCGAGCCCGACGCGGCGCGCGTCGATCCGGGCGGGCGCTGGTTGGATGGGGCGGAGGCGGAATTTGGGCGGGAGGGGCCGGTGGAAGCGCGGGGTGGCGACTGGGCGGAGGGGCCGTGTGCGCTCATCGATCGTGATGTGTATGATGCGTGCGTTGCGTGCGTTGCGCGCTCCGAGGTCTGGATGCAAGAAAGAAAAAAGCAAAAGTGAAAGGCTCTTCTCTTCTCCCTCCGCACGAGCGACGGTTTCGTTTGCTGGGATGGGCGAGAGCGGTGCGACGTGTCGCAGGCCGTCCCTCCGCGGTATATATACGCGCTCCGAACGCGCTTAGGTGGGAAGAGAGCCCGTCGACGTGCGCGCGAATCGAAACCCGAAACCGAATCTCGAAGGGATCAAAGGGGGCTTGGGATTGGGGGCAGCCGAGGCAGATGGGGGGCGCGTTCGATGATGGGGCTGTCAGTGCTCATGGAGATGAAGGCGAGATGAAGACATGCCACCGCCGTGTGCGGACGGGGTGGGCCACAGCTCGCGGATGGCTCGCCGGATCGTCGCGTCGTGTCGGGGGCAAGTGAATCACGTGGGGGTCAGCGCATACGTCAGTGCTGTACAGGTGTCCAAAGGCTCGTTCCGGGGGCGGGCGACAAAGGCGCGCTTAAGGAGGAAGGGGGGGGGCGCGTGGACGATGTGCAGCAAGCAGCGTGCAAAGATGGGATGAGGAATCGAGACGAAAGCGATTTTTTCATTTGGCGGGATCGGCGCGGGCGGAGGCGCCCAGATGACTAAGAAGGTAGACTTGCGGGTTGCCAATGCGATGGACGGCGAAAGCCTCTCGTCGTCGAAGGTGCGGGCGTTAGGGGGAAAGGAAGTACATAGGGTGGGTTTGGTAGTACATGCGCCATCCATCGAAACAAAACACTGGGGAAGAAAAGGCACCATCGCCCTCGCCCGGCGCAACCCTCGCAAGGCTCCTCAAAGCACACTGACACAGATCCTTGTCGACAGACCTCACACGTCGGGAAGGTCCACGGTGCCCCTGCGCTTTGGCGACGGGGGCCTCTCGGGCGCGACCGCGGTTTGTTCCCTTTTGAATCCTGTTCGTATGTAGATCGCCGGCGGCGGCGCGTTACGGTGAGCTTTCGTTGTCCCGGCTCTGCCTCGCAGACTGGACAGGACTGCAGATCGCCCAAACGTCGGCGCGAAAACTCACCTTGCTGGGCTTGGGCCTGGTCGGCGGTAGGCGTGGCGAGCGGTGGGGTACCGTTAAGCGGCGCGTCGTCGTCCATCGCGACGTCCGTATCCATCTGCGTGGCGGCGGCATTGTCCGCCATCACGACGTCGGGATCATTGTTCGAGGCGTTCATGGGTAGAGATAAGGGGCGGAGAGGTCAAAGGCTGGACAGGACGACGAAAGGGTGAAAGCGGGGGAAGAAACGAAGGTCAGTTGAAGGGGGGTGTATTTATGCGCCTCGGAGTCCCTTTGTTTCGAGGAAGCTTGGAGGTGGTGATGAGTACGAGCGGAGACAAAGGACGAATAGATACCGTGATTCCTCTCGTTGGCACGTTGGCGACGACGAACAATAGCTTGGAAAGGGGTTCGCCGAGTTGATATTGTTAGGCGACTGAGAGTCATTGCTTTCCAACGGGGCGCCGGCAATGTGAGGTGGTTCAAGTTCGGAGGGGACGATAGATGTTGTACGTGTGTATATCCAAACCAGTAGCAGGATTACGCATCCCTGGTAGTATATCGGATTAGTACACGCGCCTGTCATCCCAAGATTGTTTGTTGGACCGCGCGAGAGCGGGGTTCGACTCCCCGCCAGGGAGGTCGTCCTTGCACGGGAATTGTGTTGGACTCCTGAGTCTTTCTTTTCTTGCTTTTTCCCTTGAATATTCACAAATACAATTTCAAATTATCAATTGTCCGTGGAATTTCAAGCGAGTGGTGGACTGAAGCCTGAGGCATTGAGGCCTTGAGGCCTGAGGCTTGACTTGGAGCTCCAGACCCTCAGTTGAGCTAGTCAGCCTGACCCGCATCCCGTCGCAAGGATAGTCCAAGCACAGTCGACCAAACCCGACACCGATCGAAGGAATAAACCATCCCATTCCGCTCCAAACTAAAAAGACGGGGACCGAAACTGTATACAGTACTTGTAAAATATGCTCGATGCTTGATGCGATGCGCAGGGGGGAGGGTGGGGGAGGGATCTGAGATATGTATGTACAATACTATTGTATATATAGAAAAAAACCGAGACGAGATGAGGCGGAAAAGAGATGGATGGGGGGATGGATGGCGACGGGACGATTGTGTGCGAGGATGAAAGCGTGAATGGCGAGAGGTGCATGGTGCAGGGTGGAGATGGCGATGGCGATGGCGATGGCGATGGAGGGTGAGCAAGAGGGGCGTGTGTAGGACCGATGGAAGGGACGAGAGGCGGGCGGGAGGGATTGAGCAAAGGAGGTGTGGAGGTGTGGAGAGTGTGTGTGGAGCAGGATGTATGCGCGACTCTATATCGTCGACAGCGCACACCGACGCACGAACGGGGTTCTCCCAGGAAACCCCGGCCGGACGCGCCCCGCTCGCCTACGGGAGCCCTCCCTGTACGCGCACAGACCCGACCAAACGCAAAGGGCGGGCACCCCCGCCCCTCCCTCACGCCCGCGCGCGCGCGCGCGGACTCGGACTCGCCATCCGCACGTCGTCCTCGTCGTCGTCGTCGTCGGCCCCCTCCGCGTCCTCCTCCGCGTCCTCCTCGTCCGAATCCGCCGCGACGCTCCCGCTCGCGGTGCTCCACGCGGGCCGCACCGTCGGCTCCTCGTCCGTGCTCCCGCCCTCGGTCTCGGTCTCGGTGCCGCTGGCGGAGTAGGACGACTCGGAGGCGCTCGCGAAGGACTGGGTGGACGCGTGGTGCACGAGGCGCGGGTGCGGGTGGGGTCCGGGCGGGGGGTCCGGGTCGGAGAGCGCGGCGGGGAGCGAGGACGGGGAGGGCGGGACGGCGTTCGTGTGGGAGAAGAGGACGAGCTGCTCGGCGTAGTGCTGCATCTCGGCGTCGGAGATGCGCAGGCGGAAGTCGTTCAGGAGGAGGAACTGCAGCTCGAGCTGGTTGAGCTCGGATTGGGGCAGGCCGCCGACCTGGTGGGAAAGGAGGGTTAGGTTAGGGCGCTGCGTCTTTTAGGGGAATTGAATGGATTGGATGGGTTGAATGGGGGGATGACGTGGTGCGGGGTTCTGGGCATCGGCGTGCATGGCGAGAACGAGGACGAGGACGGGGAGGTTCGAACGGCGTTTTCGAGGCTTGAGGCGTTACGTCACGGCCGAACGAAGGCAGAAGCGCGGGGGCATATGACGACCTCCGTCCTCGCGTGCCCGTGCGCGCCAACAGAGGGCAAGCAGAAAAAGGAAACGAAACAAGCGCGAACGAAGGCGTCGATGAAGGGGAAGTACCGCGAGCCCAAAGGCGGACGGAGAAAAAAAATTGGGGGGGGACGACGGAGTTCGGGGAGGGAAGTCGACGTACCTTCGCGTAGCGAGAGTTGGTGTAGAAGACGTCGCTGAAGAACTTGCTCGCGACGGTGACGCCGGCGATGACCAGCCGATGGACGTTGTACGAGTCGATGACGAACCCGCGCCCGGTCGCCTCCGCGCTGAGCCTGGCCATGCGGTCAAAGTACACGAGCAGGGAGAGGAAGACGTCGTTCGGGGCGGGGCAGTATTTGTGTATGCGCATGAGGTACGCGTGGAGGGAGATCGTGGGCACCGTGCGCGCGTGGAAGGCGAGCGGGGAGGACGGCGTCGCGAGCGAGACGCGGGAGGCGGTGGTGAGGGTGTGCCAGATGGGCCGCGCGGAGAGCACGGAGAGCGAGAGCGCGGGCGGGTGGCTGTCGGCGGTGGCGGGGGAGGGTAATCGGTCGTTGGCCCGGGCGATCTGGTCGAGGAGGGAGGCGAGCAGGCGGAGGAGGTCCGGGGCGGGGTACGAGTGTATGTCCACCGGTCGACTGCTGCTGGCGATGGGGGGTGCGCCGGGGCCGTTGGCGCTGGGGGCGGGCGGGGTCGGGGAGGACGCGGGTGGGGGTGCATCGCTCGCCGGGAGCAATGTGGAGGACGAGGAGGGGAAGGGTACGGGGGGGTGGGGCGCTGGCGGTCGATGAGGGTGAGGGTGGGGGTGGGGATGGGGATGGGGATGGGACGCCACGACGGGGGGTCTTGCGGAGGAGGACGTGCGGCGGGATATGGGGGGATGTGTGGGGGCGGGTGGGTGGATGGCGTCGTGGGAGGTGAGCAGGGCGAGCATGGGGCGGGGTCGGGGGGGCGGGGGGGGGAGCAGGATGAGGGGAACGGTGACGGGACGGCTTCTGAGACCGGCGGGCGGCCTGTCCACAAAAAACCACTCGCGCCCAGCCGTCACGCGCTGTGACGTTCAACGGTCACCCGTTACGGCCCACGTGCTCGCTCCAGCCAATCGCGGCCCTTTCCCTCGAACTCGTTGAAGTTTCCCGCTTTCGTTGTAACTTGTCGTCGTCCATGGTGCACACACCGCCTTCAACCGCTCTTCAGCGCTTCAGCTCAAACGTTCGTGAAATTTCCACTGGGACGCCCCCCTCCAAGCGACGACGCCACAGCTCGACACCTTCACTCTTGATTGATACCAACCACTGGCAACCACTGGTGCCCGCCGCTGCTTGACTTTGGGTGCCCTTTCCTCTCCGAGCCCGTGTACAGGGTCCCGTCTTATTCAACTCGCGTATACGACTTCCACCATCCTCGCTGTTTCATGCACGGAAGTCCGGGAGAATAATGGGAAAATCCGAGGAAGAACATCGTTCGAGGACCGCTTCTCGATGATGAGGGGTCCACGAGGGTCCACGACGAACTTATGTGATCGGGATTCGGGACTGGAGGATTCTATACGAAGGCACGTCAGGTGCGTCTTTTCCACCTCCGATTTAGCAGTAACTGATAGCGGGGAAGGCTCGTTCCGTTCGACGGCCGGTAAAGCGCGTAGGTTGTAGTATATGCCGTTGGATGGCGATACGTCTTCTGTACCTCTGTGCCACCGTCCACTGGGGGCTTCTTCGTCGACATGCTTTGACGGCGCTAGGATAACGTGCCACTCTTGTCTTCCATCTGAGCGGACCGGTCTCTTCTAACGTGGCGGTTTGTCTCCAACATGGCACGCGAAGAGCTTCGCTGCGGGTTTCCAGGAATTTGGACATCCCGTCGATGCCAGTGCCAGTCGGCATCTGTGCCACCGGAGTCAAAACGTTCTCGAGGAGACGTATAAAATCCCCCAGGATTTCTTCCCCTTCTTCCTCACTACCAACTTCGACTATCACATTGACGCAAATGGCCTCGAAATCAACCCAGCCAACGCCGACTCCCGTCGAAAATCCTGAACGAACTCCTACTCCCCCGCAAGGCGAGGGGGGCAAACCCGCAGGTAGCGTCTGGTTGTATGAAGAAGGATGGCCAAGTCTTTACGCTCCTTCTATGCAGTCTCTTCGATAGAAAGGAATGCTACCTTAGAAGATCTTACCTCGCCTCCGGGACCATTGGGTACGCGCCGTTTCTACGTGTGTCAGTCGTATTAACGCCGACTTCCTGCCTTAGACACTTATAACCGCCCCGGGGGACCGGGACCCATCAAGCGCTCAGACGCTGTGGTTTTTCCTGACAGTAATCAGAACGCGGCATCTTCGGCCAAATCCACGGATGCTCAGGCCTGATTATCCTGGCTGATGTATTCGGACAACGTCGTAAATCGCAGACATTATCTGAGAAATATATATTTTTCTTCCACGGCGAGATACCAATGACGTGCTGTATCCTGTCCCAATGTCTCGACGGAGGACCCCATCTTCGAAGGTGCAGTGAGATCGATATAGCCAGTGACTTCGAGATTGTGGCGTTTCTCCTATCTCTTCGCGTTTGACGCAGTTCTAACTTCTCTAGGTTTCGATCTCACGAGGTACAGCCATCCCCGATCTCTTGATCACCATCCTCGACGGTCGATGTCGCTGATTCTTTTTGTTGGAACCTTCGACCGCACTGTCATCATATGCGCCGTGCTGTGTGTCACTCTCGTCTCCGGCTCTCATACTACCGTGCCACCCTTGTCTTCCATCTGTCTCTTCTTACATGGCGGTTTGTCTCCAACATGGCACGCGAAGGACTTGACGGCGGGTTCCTACAAATATAGACGGCAATGGCAGGCCTTTGGAGTGTTTCACACGTACGCGATGGTCGGATCTGGAGGCTTCGCTTTGAACTACGAGAGGCGGCGAGCGTTTGTACCTTCGGGTTGTTCGTGTTGTACGGGTAGAGAACAACCCGTCCAAGCTTCAGATAGCTGTGTTCCTTCTTCAATCATCTTGCGTATTATTGTCTTCTTTGAGTGTAGCACCTCCTGACATGTGGCGCGCAGGCTAGTCGCGTACATAAATATGAATACCCAACTGGATTAGTGGGGTGCATCGACTTGCCATCCTTCCCTCTTGCTCACTGCACTTGTACTGTGTTCTTCATAATGAGTATGCCGGATACCGCATCTTCCTGGTTGCTCGTCAACGGATCCAACTCGTCAATATCACAAGCTGCTGGTGTTGAGCACGACGGCTCGCGCGAGGTCTCCTCACCTTCGAACCTCCCGTCTACTCCGCTTGCTTCCGCCAGCTCCAGTCACGCATTTGAATCTCCACTTCCATCGCCACACAAGATAGCCTCGCCACTGTCTGATGCACCAGAACCTCGTCCTACTCGCGCCACATTACATCGCGGTAAACATGAAGATCCGTCTGCCGTCGCTTCTGCAGACTCTGGCCATTCA